AAATGTCCTATTAATCAGCTTGGAAAGTGTCTCATTGATATTTGTTTCTCAATAAAATAAATTTTAAAAAAGATTCATTACAGGGCTGCAGTGATGGTTCGACATAAACAACTCAATAAATGTAATACTGGTGTTGATATGGTAATCAACAGAGTCAAGGAAAAAAATCACATGATTGGGCCAGCAAGATAGCTCAGCAGTCTAAAGTGCCTGCTTAGGCAAGCTTAGGCAGGTGCAGGGGACCATGGTTTGATGCCCAGCACCACATGGTATGCCAGCCCTGCCCTCAGGGTGGGCTGAGCCAGCCATAAAAAAGAAAAAAAATTCACAAGATCATCTCAATAGACATAAAAAAAGCATTTGACAAAGTCTAATGGTGATTCATGATAACAACGCTATAGAAATTTGGAATAGATGGTCTTTATCTCAATTTAATAAAAGCCATCAATGACAAACAAACAGGCAACATCATACTAAATGATCGAAAACTGAAATGTTCCACTCTAAGGCCAGGAACAAGAAAAGCATGTCCACTGTCACCTCTTATTTAACATAGTTCTGGCAACATTAGCCAGAGCAACTAACCAAGAGAATTAAAGCAATAAGGGTTGGAAAGGAGGAAGTTAAATCATTATTTGTGGATGACATGATATTCTATGTAAAAATCCCTAAAAAGTCCACCGAAAGACTTGTAGATTTAATAACTGAATTCAGTATCAAAGCTGGGCATAAAGTCAGCCCTCAAAACTCAATAGTTTTCCTGTATACAAACAACAAACACTGAGAGAGAAATTAAGGAAATAACCTTTTAGAATAGCATTGAAACAAAATGAAATACTTAAGAATAAGTCTGACAAGGGAAGTAAAAGACTACATTGAAAATTGCAGTATTCTGAAAAAAGAGATAGAAGAGGATATAATAAAATGGAAAGATATTCTTTGCTCACAGGTAGGAAAAATCAACATATTAAAAATGGCCACACTCCCAAAATTATTATACCAATTTAATGCAATCCCAAATCAAAATATTATAACTCACAGAACTATAGAAAAATTTGTAAAATCATTTTAGAACCAGAAGAGGTCTAGAATAGCAAAAACAGTCCTAGGCAATAAAGACAAGGCAGGGGCCAATCACAATCCCTGACGTGAATTGTACTACAAAGCTGTTGTGGTAAAAACAGCATGGTAAAACAAAACAACACTCATATAGCCTGAGGATTAATGGAACAGATTAGCAGAGCTGCAAGCAACAACAAGCACACTCAGCCACCTTATCTTTGACAAAGGGGCTAAGAATATTCACTGGAAGAAAGACAGCCTCTTTAATAAATGGTGCTGGAAAAACTGGCTTTCCACATGCCAAAATCTAAAACTAGACACATGTCTCTCACCAACACTCAACTAAAATCAAAATGGATCAAAGATCTAAAAAATAAAAGAGAAACACTAAATTTGCTGGAAGATAGACTAGAAGGAACTCTTGAAGACGTAAGTGTGGACAAATATTTCATGAATAAAACCCTGACATTATGGGAAATAGTACAAAGAATCAAGAAATGGGATCTCATCCTACTAAAAAGCTTTTCACAGCCAAAAATCATCAACAGATTGAGAAAAGAACCCATAGAGAGGGAAAAATATTCAGACAGAAAATAGGAAGGAGGGACCGGGGAGATGGTTCAGTGGAATAAGTACTTCCCTGGCAAGCACAAGGGCATGAGTTCAATCACTGGTTCTGCCAAAAAAAAAAAAAAAACAGGAAGGAAAGCTTTCCCAAACCCAAACACATCTTGTTTCAGGGCTGCCAGTGTAGTGCCACAGGTTGCCTACTGCATAGCACAAGGGACACATGCCACATGGTTAGAGAGTCATCTCTACTTCTTTGCGTGGAAAGGTAGGTGTTCTTTGATGCGAGGTGTTGCAGAAGAAATAGAAATACCTGCTTTGACTTGTGTCTGTGATGATGATGGGTGAACCACTTCAGTCTAGGAAGACTCCGCAGCTATACTTTCTTCAGCCTCCCACAGTGCTGGAATTACAAGTGTGCATAAATTTAAAGCCCGTGCTGTTTTTCCTGCAGTGGCTTCATGCTGGTCCTGCATTAATTCTCCACCCATATAAAGAGCATCTTTTTTTTCTTTTCTTTTTTAAAACAATTTCTTTAAGAGTGTTTATTAAAAATATTTGTTGCAATTCATCCATATTCAAGAGAACTTCATTCTTTCTACCCTAACCATAACAAGGTCAATTACTAGCAAGAACATAATGTTTACCTCCAGAACATCTGCCATAGCTGTGCATTGGCCTTCAAGACCTTCTTGTTCTTGTTATTCTGAACAAACCCTGATTCCTTTTGTACTCAAAGACAAGGCTAAACTCTTCTCAAATGTCTGATCAGTTTTATAGCTTCCACGTACCTTGAAGTCATGCCACACTGCAGCTAAGGTCCCCTGTAGCTTTTGGAAGGGAACAGGACATGACTCTGTCCCTTGCTTGAATGGCTTGTCCTCTTCTCAAATGGAGAACACCTCATATTGAATGTGTAAGGGAGAGATGTGCTAAATTCATCATGGCCACAAGCCGATAAAGTCTTCCTGCAAACAATCTGATCAGTCACTATCAAAAGCCATCTTTGCAAGTCTTAAGTTTTTGTGAGTCCCTCTGTATTGTTACCTAGTGTCATAATGGCTATTTAAGTCCTCTAGGCCTCCATGGTCTATCTGGACACCTGGAGCTGTTTGGGATTGCAAATGCTATTTTCCAACTCACTTTTTGAACATAATTCTTCCACATCTACTAGGTCACATTAATCTTGTGTTAGCATGTTTGGTTTGATTGCCTGTGTGATTTTTACCTTGGAGCTGGCCCAAATAGGAAGGGAAATATAATTATAAGCAAATACACACCGCACATACACAAATCCAACTCCAAGCCCTGGAGAGCTACGTAGGAGGCAGGCACTGGAGAAACCAGACAGAGGCTTGGAGACTCCTGAACCCCACTGGTTGCTCACAGCAATGGCAAAAGTAGCTGGAGGCAGAAAAATACCCCCATTTTATTACAGTACTGGGGATAGCTTCTTTTTTGTTCTTTTAATTTGAGGCAGGGGTCTTGCTAACTCACTAAATTGTCCAGACTGGGTTCAAACTGATGATCCCCTTCCTTAGTCTTCCAGAGTGTTGTCCTTACAGGTATGAGCCGCAAGGTCTGTCTCCCATCCCCCAGCATATAGGAATCATAGGCCATCAAGTCACAGCAATGAGTAGGGGCAGAGTGTACAGTGTTCTGCTGACAGACTCGGAAGTCCAGAGCCATGTGAATTCAAACCACACTTCTGCTGCCTGCCGCGTGTGCAGAAAGCTCACGTGCTCCTCCAACCTTCAGTCATTTATCCACATAGGACTAGTAATTCATGATTCAACTTTTGTAGGAATTATTTGAAATAATGAATGCAAACCCTGAACATAATATTTGGAGAGTGAACACTACGGGCCCAATAGGTATTATGGTCTAAGAAATATAGTTTATTATCTTTTCCAGAAGAAAGTAGGTTAGCAATATAAGACTGGCTATTTTATTATTCATTATTTTAAATAGTAAGTATAGCTCAAATTATTATCCTTTATGAAAACGTTTGGGGGAGAATGAAAGAAAAAGCATTTCTCTTTTCAAAAGTCTCCTCAGTTATATATACATATATCTGCTCTCAAACAATAATTAGGATATTTGAATTTTTCATCTGCATATCGTTATCTGTCATTGGAGACTTCAAAATCTATTCTTTTGGAGTTTGTTTCCAAAAATAGTAATTACCAAGACATGACCTCAGCACACATACAATAAAGCACCTAAGAGATTATATGTTTTTCAATTTCCTTCACTCTTAGAAAAATAAATCTTGAATCCTGGCATTCAGTGCCAGCCCCACCCCCAAGGTGGGGCGATGGGGAATGAGACTGGGCATGGTGGTGCACTCCTGTAACCCCAGCGCTTGAGAGGATGAAAACAGGAGGATCACTAGGAGTCTGATCTGTGTAGTGAGACCCTGTACTAAATACATTTAAAAAGAAAAAACAAAATCACTGGAAATTTCTGTTTCAGAAAGTTGAATGAGTTCTAGTTCTTTCTTTAATAAAAGCTTGGTTACCATGAAAACATATACTTTCATTTTTCCAAATTGCAGAGAAAACATACAGTAAAGATTAAAGTTACAATTAAGACAAGGTTGCTACAACAAAAAGGTTCAGGTTCTCTGGAAGAAAGTGAAAATAGAGGTATACTTCTATAGTGAGTACTCTTTTTAATTTTTTTATTTTTAAAATAATTTTACTGAGAAACAAATAGCAATGAAACAGTTTCAAAACCAATTACTAGCACAGTTTCAATAATTAATACATTGCAAATTGTTGTCTTAGTGGTTATTCATTGTACAAGGTGAAGACATGATATCCTGTCCACAGACATTATTAGAACAAATCTCTCTATTCAGTGAATTAAGAGAATGCAGCTGTATATCTTTCTTAACTCTCTGAATATAGACACAAAATGGTCATTCATTTGTATTCCCTCTTTTGTTTAGCTTTGTCAGAGAAGGCTATCCCATTGTCATTTAAATATTATAGGTGCGTGAATTCAGCAAAATATTCCAATATAGTCCAGTAGTCCATATTAGTATTGGGTTATCCATAGAACTGGCAATGTCAGAAGTTGTTGACTTGAGCCTTTTACAGCTCAGAATATTCATATGGCTTTACTTTTTATATTTCATTTTTATACTTTTATGCTGTATGGTTAAGACCAAGATAAAGCAAGACCTGTATAACAAGAAATGTAACTTTTGTATCTGACAAGGTCCGTCAAATCCCCTCAGGATTCATCCTGAAACCCTGTACCACAGTTTGTAGATCCTTTGTCAGTGTCAGCCATGTGGATGAGTCACAGCCATTGCTTGACCAATTTGCTCTCTATGACAGCCTGAGAGAATGTTTTCTCTCCATGTGACTCTCCTTAGGCACACTCTACATCGTTGATCTCATTCCTCTGTGGCCCCATAATCTCCTTGATCATATAGTGAGTACTCTTTCTCGAGTTAAGTTAAACCTGAAAATCTCACACTACGTATGGGTACAATTCAGATGGAAAAGAAAGTCGCTAACCAGTTTCTGAGGAATAAATGTCAATTTAAATAATTCCACCTTTACATGTTTCCTTCAGGATCTAGTAAAATTTTATTTTTAACCTTTTATTAGTGCATATTTGCAGTACATTATGACTACATTCATCATGAGGAATCAGTACATGTATGTAACATATCTCAATTCTTTTTATGTCACTTCCCCCTCCACTCCTTTCTCCCCTTCCTCCATCTCTTGGTTCCTTTCCCATTTGTGAAAGATAAAATTAGAATTCCATTTGATTATCTACAAACACAAGCTAGGCAGTAGATCCCTGGCCACGAGGAGGAGCGCAAGCTCTTGCCAAAGTAGTTCTCTGCTCTGCACCTGGCTCTGGGAAGTTCAGAATCCAGAGCTTCCGAATAGCCTCCCCATTAAGGCAACGTTTAGTGAGACCTACTTGATCCATTCTCTGTGGTTTTTTTCCCTTCGCAGTGAAAGTATACTCCCTTTCCAAGAGGGTAATTAAATCGCTTCTGCCCCATGCGTGTCCTGAACTGCAGAGCAGGCCCAGGATAATTGGAGACAGGCAGCTATTTGCCCTCTAATTTAAATGTATCCTAAAGCTTAGAGGTCTACAGGCAAAGCCAGACGCCTGTGTGAGCCAAGGGAGCAACAAAGAAGGCTGTCTACTGTGTGGCGTGACGGCAAACACCAGCACTGGGCGACGCCAGCGTTCAATAGACATTTGACCCCATGAGGCTAAAGCGAAGATTTCTGGAGCAGGTGGCAGAGGGGACTGTGGTGCCCAGGGCAAAAGCATCAGCCCCGACTCTTGAACAGACCACTGTGGCTACATCGGAAAGCAGAATTGGGGTTGCCAGATTTGGGGGATTTTTCAAGAGAAGTCACAGATCTTGTGTTTAAATGAAATCGACCCCATTTCAAAAGTTCGGAACTCACTCCAATGAAAAGCAACAGCACAGCATCATCACTAAGGCAGACCAAAGAAAACAAAAGTGCCAAGACATTGCTTTCCTAATTGTGGCTTAGAGGATGAAGTTTTGTGCAAGGTTGCATTTCTTCTTAAAATATACACAGAAACAAATGTTCTTTTAGAAAACTGGTCTCTAAAATGAAATACCACTTATTTAAAAAGACGCAAAACCTCTACACTAAGTTCAATGTGGTGACCTGGATCAGTTCTTGGACCAGAGAAAAGCCCACAGTGGTAACATAGTGAAATCCCAGTAAAGTCTGCAAATACTAGAATCCCACTGATTCCCCCAGGAAGAGGATGCCTTATTCACTATTGAAGAATGAGCAATTAGCGTCTGTGTTTCAATATACAAAGGAATTAAGCTTATGATGGACAACAGAGAAAAGAGTTCTAACTTTTACACATGATTTACTTGCCAGAGAGACTTGGCTCCATTGCAGTCTGTGAACCTCAGTTTCCCTCCGGGCACCAGGGTTGCTGTGAAAATTAGATGGGACTTTTGAAGAAGCAGCTTGGCCCATTGAAGAGACTTGGGAGACCTCCTCATAATCCCATCAATGAATGAATTGGTAAGCAATACGCAATCGTTTTCTATATAAGCCTGGTATGATTTGGAGTTATTTGTATTTCTTGTGAGGTATCTTCAGTGTATTTTATCGACTTTGTTCAAAGCACCTAAAATTGAGGGTCTAAATACACAGTAGAGCTGAGTATACGTGAACTAAAATTACCTATGACACTGTCACCTTGAAGGTACGCCAAGCATGTTAATTATTTACTAAGTTTGGCTTTTTCCCGAAGACACTTGAGCTAAGGATTTTTCAAGGCTGAATAAGGTCACATTATTTTCTTGTAAAAGATCAAGAAAATCCTATTGTGTGTTCAAGAATTGATGTGGAAACTCTTATTATCACAAGTTGGCATTCATAGAAAGTAACTGTTTCTGGTTAAAAAAAACTGGTTGTAAATCCAGTTCTTACATATGATAAACCTTCAGAAAGTACATGCTCAAATCTTTCAGTTGCCCTAGAGTTCTATTTTAGAGGGAGGTTTTTCCAAAAATTATTCATTTTGTCTTTTTAAATATAAATGCTATTTTAAATAATTAGTTTAAAATGAAGAAAGCATTGGTTTCAATGTTTCTCCACTATGTGGGATAAATTAATTAGACAGGATAAATAATTGACCTTTGTAGCTGGCGTTTTCCATAGCCTGAGGAGGATAACATATTGAACATGAG